ATTTATTATTTCTGTAAGGGCTTATTGATTCTTACTGACACGCTCAAATTACATTTTTAACCTTCGAAAGTTAAAAAAAGTTATCATATACATAAAGAACCTTACAAAATAAAAAATTTAAATTATTAAAACGAAACTTATGATGTAACATATGAGTCCAAACAGGACTTGGAGCCCAATCCTTTTTAAACCTCTCTAATTGGTCAGAATCATTGCACCACACTTGGAGGTCGAGGGTGCAAGTCCCCTTCTCCGACAACAGCCTCCGTCCGATCTAAAAATATGTATATATATATATATTAAATCTCACTTTCTTCTAAGAGGCCACCACTGCCTAAGTCTATCTCTTGTAGAGCTTATAATATAATGGTGCTGGATCGGCGGTGGCTGTGCATGTGAAGCCTTTTAATTACATATTGGTTCTCCAAAATTATTTGACTCGCCTCGAAAAGTAAAATATAAATGATTTTTAACAATAAAATTTTAAATATATTTGTAGGCATAAATAATTTTAAGTTGAAAAAATATATATATTTTTTGAGATTTATTTTGAGACAAAAAATTTGAATTAAAAAAAAGGATAATTTATCAATAAATATCCAATTTCGTAGTTAAATATACAATAATAAAACTTTCAACCATTAGAATATTCTCTAAAAATGATTTTATCCTTCAATTTTTTATCTTCAAAACCTTAATTCGTGACAGTAGATTAACCTTATGGTGATGCATGTGTCGTGATGGCCTATCTCTGTATTTTAGTTATGCCAGAGTAAACTCTGTTTTTCCTTCACTATCCCAAAATTCATATAGCGTAGAGTATATGGGCTGTTTGGTAACATCCTGTTGCAAGCTTATTGATAATCAAAACATAAAAATGCACTAAACACTTCAACACATATTCTCAAATTAAATATAAATATAACTAGTTCCAATAAACTGCGTCAAATATAACCATATTACCAGCTAACCTATCTTTTTCTAATAAAAATTCCTAAAAAAACCATCATTTGAGTCTTGCAAGTTCCATGTAGAATTTAAATAAAGTATTTGGATGAAGATTTAAGTGAGAATTCGTAGAGAGAAAGGAAAATGAAGTACGAAACTGAAACAAAAATCTAAGCTATATAATTCATTAAATTGCATTTAAAGGGTAATAATTCAAAGTCATTATACTTTCATAAAAATGCAAATTAAAACAAGTGAGAATTGTGTATGGTGTTACAGTTTTCCCGTGCCCTTTATGAAAGTACAATTATTTTTGAGTTGTACCAATTTAAATGCATTTTTTGTTGGGATTCATTCCATGTCTCCCCGAAAGAGAATGGAAGCACAATTACACACATACTACAGAGAAAAATATACACACATAGAAGTTTATGTGATTTGACGCAAATTGCCTACATTTACAAAACAGAGACATTGCACTACCCTAATAAAATAGATGATATAGATGAGATGATCAAAATACTCAAAACTCACATCACTACATAAACCCCATCGTCAAAGATAGTTGCGCCTTTACTCATTCTGATGCTTTATGGTATTTTTTTTCCCTTACCCTTTATATGTTTATTTTCTCTCATTGTTCTCTCACCAAAACCTGTAGCTCACATGGTTACACATCCTTAATTACGACTTTTGTGCCTTTGGTTATCATATACTGTGTTGTTAGTTATAACTCCTTGAGATATTAATTATGACATTATTATTGTTATGATCTAAGAGTTCTCTCTTATACCTTTTGATGTTTGGTTATAACTCAATTTATTTTTATTTTTATTAATTATGACTTTCATAATATTGAGTTATGCCATTTGTAATAATCAATATCACAAATGATATAACTTGCATATGGGTGTGTACCATAAAATTACCCTATTTATAATAGCTTACTCATAAGAAATATAATTCTCATACAATTAAGTAATCCAAACTATGCTATCCTAACTCAAAAGCATGTATAAATCAACATAATAACTAATAATTATATAGGACTCACATAAATAACACGGGTGAACTAATCCCAACATTATTTCCTATTTCATTTCCCTTCCTTCTTCCGTTCCCTACATTTTTTTATTTTTGATAAATTTACTCAAAAGTCTTATCTCAGAAAAGCATGTACCAAAACGTTTCATGAATTTTTTGTAATTAGTCTCATTGAATTTGAAAAGGTGCACCGTGAGATCCTTTTAATATATTTCTTGAAGATTTCAAATGTAGGTATGTTTCATTTGTGCACTATTATCTTATTAAATTTTTATCAACTGTGACATTCTTAAAATTTGATAATGGGATATCAATCTAAAGTGTGCACTATTGTCTTATTAAACTTTTGTCAAATGTGTCATTCTACTTAAAATGTGACAATTAGACATTTGTACACTATTGTCTTATTAAAATTTGCCAAATGTGTCATTCTTAAAATGTGACAATATACCATCATTCTAATGTGTATATTATTGTCTTATTAACTTTTTGTCAAACGTGTCATTTTTAAAATGTAAAAATGGAATATCATTCTAATGTGTGCACTATTGTCTTATTACTTTTTCAAATGTGGGTATTGCTTGATTTGAGAAATTTTAATATGAAATAGGACTTATGAAATTATAAGAATATTTATGGGACTAAAAGGTCCATAAATAATGGATATATGATTTATTAATAAATGCCCCTTTATTTTATTTTATTTTTTTATAAATTTTATATCCAAACACAGTCTTAATGTGACAAAGTTTTTCTTCAACTAAATTTTTTTTGGTAGGTAATCAATAATTCATTAATAGTGAAGCAACGAATATAAAGTTGAGAAGTGATATCGGTAGTTATATTATATGTTTGAATTAAATTTGTATTATAAAATATGAATGGTTATTATTGAAATAATATTTATCATTCATTTTTTTTTAATAAATATGATTCAAATGTATAGTTATCGACGTTCAATACCATTGTAATTTTTTACATTAATATTCTATTCAAATATTCCTAAAAAGTAAACAATTCATATTACTGACATCGGTCTCAAAATGGGAACAATAGCGGGCAATATGAGCCTATTTCGGATCCCGTTTTGATGATCCAAACAGTTCACATTTTAAAATATACATCGAGTAGGAAACAATTATAAAAAATCAAGTTAATCGGACATTGTTAACCATTTAATCGAAATTCATTTGTATCTATAAAAATAAATGACAATTGTTATTTGAAATATAAAACAAAGTATAAATGTAAGTGGATGAAAGTGTTAATGATATCCGATCAAATTGATTTTTTACAGGTATGTTCTACTCATTATATTTTAAAATGTGAACCATTTAGATTATTGAAACGGATCTCGAAATGGGCTCATATTGCCACACAACAACCACCCCATTTCCCCAAAAAACGAGATTACCAAATCTGAACACTCTCTTAAATTGACATGATGACTTAGCCTCCGTTTGGGAAGTGGGTTGGCTTTTTAGCTTTTTGGGTTTTTTGACTATTTTAGCCTGGTCTAAAAAGTTTGGTTTGAGAAGGGCTTTTTAGCTTTTTTGACTTTTTTTTGTGAGAGAATAGTATAAATTATGGGTTGGATGTGATGTTTTGTTTGTTATGGCTAAAATAGCCTATTTTGTTTTTTGTGGCTATTTTAGCCCCAAAACCACTTGCCAAACACCACCTCCCATTGAAAAAATAGTTTATTTTTTGAACCCAAGTATCATTACCTTTAGCAATATTTTTCCCAAGAAAAAAAGCAATGTGCGTTCACAATTTATGTCGATCAGTAGGGGCCCCGAAACTCTAATCTTAAAACAAAAGACACACGGTTCATTGTTGTTTCAGTAGGGACCCCAAAACTCTAATCTTTGGGTTGAAGGTTTAATACAAATAGAAGTACTGCAAGAAACCAGAGAGAAGCTCACAATTTATTTATTTATTTTTTGTTGTTTTCGAAAGCAGAAGAAAGTTTAATCAACTTGTTTACATTGTAACAAACAGGCCAATAAGCGTGTTGCGAATTACACACTGATTTGTTTACCCCGGTTATTTACACCAGTTGATGTGGATTCATCCTACTTGATTCCAAGTAAATCACCCGAAAATATCTAAGAATTTATTATTGTTTGACCACAAGACAAAAATAGATATGGATAAGATGTGTAGCCCACAATTCTGTTTGCAGATAAGGTATAATATAACTTTGCTTTTCAAGGAAACTTAAAGAATTTTCTTCCAAAAACTTTATAAAAAAAAAAATTATAAAAAAAAATCTTATTACTGTAACAAGTTTATCTTCATTTTGTTTATGGTAGGTAATCAATGATTCATTAATAGTTTCAACTAAAAGCAGAGCCATTGATTTGTCTTGTCTCTAGCTATTGATATTGCTTCAGGATTTGCTAGAGATGTTCCAGACCATGCTCATTTGCCAATTACCTTCGCTGTTCTGGACTTGCCATCAACATCTAATCTTTGCTCTCATATCTTCTTCAATCATCTTAAATATTTTTGCAACATCTCTCCTTACTTGAGTGAATAGTTGAACAGTGACTGAGTGACAATTACACAAGGCTCCTACTAAAAACACAACATATATGCAATCTTAGTCAGAACAAGCCTTATTGGTGGGCCGAGCCGCCCTTATTAGAGTAAATATACCCTATTATTTATTTCCTCCAAATGTGATACAGAGATAACTTTATATACAAAAGTTTTGAAGCTCTTTAGTTGGTCAGAATCCTTACACCTCGCTAGGAGGTCAAGGACTCGATTTCCCTTCTCAAACTACGACCGCCGAGTTAGAAAAAATAAATAAAAAGAATATTGAATCTGATTTTCTTCGAAGAGCCCACAAATGCCAAACCATTGTGGTTTTCTACAAAAATGATCTGATTAAACCTTCTATATCCTTGAGTACCTTCACAGATAGGATGAAAAAAAAAGAAAAAAAAAAAAGCAACAATTTGAAACAGTACCTTCGGGTATGTCTAAGAAAAAAACAATACAAGTTTTATTATTTGCTCATTTATTAAACTGTCACTTATAATACAGTAATTGAACATACATAATGATAAAACTAACAATGTCTATGATATCAAGTATTAAATACCTAACTATTCATATTTACAAGTATTTTGTATTTCTCCATTTGAGGTAGCTGAAAAATGGTTTCTCTGGAACAGGTATCCACTTCACAAGCCAACCAATCGGCCAAGATACTGCAGCAAATCCAATACATACTACCCACTGCCACCAATTCAACCTCTCTGTACTTGCAAATTTCTTCAGGAATTCCACCATCACCACTTGAAGAACAATGGTAATCCCAATGATCGCCAAAAACAACTTGCTTCTATGTATTTCCTTGAAGACATTCTTCTTCTCAAGCTTCCTTGCATTGAATTCGTTGAAAACTTGGCAAAGCACAAAAGTATTGAAGATTAGCGTGTTGTTGACATTTGTATTCACCCCAAAGATTGATTTGCCTCCGAATTGTAAGGTCAGTAGCACGGCTATCTGGTAGAATGCTTGAGCTAGTAGGTTCCTCCACATAATGTTGGTGATGAGTGGTTTAGTTCGCCCCACGGGTGGTTTCTTCATGAGTTCTTTGGAGGGCTTTTCTGTGGCCAGAGCCAAAGCACCTAAGGTGTCCATGATCAAGTTCAGCCACAATAACTGGACAGCTGTAAGTGGGACTTCACCGGCTGAAACTGCTGCGACAAAGTTGATGAAAAGCGCAGCAACGTTCACAGTGAGCTGGAATTGGATGAATTTTTGAATGTTGTTGTAAACACATCTTCCCCACTTTAAGACCGTGACTACAGAACCAAAGTTATCATCTAAAATGACAATGTCTGAACTCTCTTTCGCCACTTCTGTTCCTTGAATCCCCATGGATAGACCTATATCTGCTTCCTTCAATGCCGGAGCATCATTCGTGCCATCACCAGTAACTGCCACAACATGGCCTTTCTGCTTCAAGCATTGCACCATGAGAAGTTTATCGAATGGGGAAGATCTTGCCATCACACAGATTTTATCAACTTTCTCCAATCGCTCCTCTGGCGTGTAATTGCGAAATTCCTCACCTTCTACCACTGCTCCATTCAGATCCTGATTAGGCCTAAGTATCCCGCATTCAGTGGCTATAGCTCTAGCAGTGAAAACATTGTCGCCAGTGATCATTTTGATGTTCACTCCAGCATACTGACAAGCTTTCACAGCTTTCTGCACACCAGACCGACATGGATCCCTTATACCTACCAATCCCAAAAGGGTCAAGTTGCTGTCCTTCAAATTTTTGTTCACTTTTTCACCTTCATTCTCTTCTTCTTGAACTTGTTTATGAGCAAAAGCAATGCATCGAAGGCTGCTCGCGGCCATACCTTGGACCATTTGATCAAATTTCTTCCTTTCAACATCATCCAAGGCCTTGATTTCTCCAGAGACATCATAGTAATGGGAACACATTGCAAGCACCATCTCTGCAGCCCCCTTCCAATGCACGTTGATTGTATTGTCATCCTTCTTCCTCATTGAAACGCCACTTCTTTTCTTTGTTGAATTGAAGGCTTCAACATGGAGGATTGAACAGCTCTGCTTCAGTTTCTCCATATCCATGTTTAGTTCCTTGACAGCCCAAAAAAGAATTGCTTTTTCGGTGGGGCTGCCAGAGAACTCAAATTCGGATCCTGAAGTAGACTTGTAAACAGTGCCTGTCGTATTCAAACCGACACCTTGGTGGAGCAATTCAAGAACATTGTCTGAAATTGAAGTTGAATTTCTTTCCTCCATCGATTCTTGGCCGAGCCATAACTTTGTTACCTTCATTTGGTTGAGTGTGAGGGTGCCTATTTCGTCAGTACAAATGACGGTGGCAGAACCCATTGTTTCACATGCAGAGAGCTTTCTCACCATTGCCTGATCAGCCATCATTCGCTTCATCGAATAAGCCAAAGTAAGTGTGACAGCCAATGGCAAGCCTTCAGGAATTGCAACAACAACAATAGTTACTGCAGCAGCTACAATCCCCACAACAGAATTAATAATGTCATTAACTTTTGTCTTGCTTCCAGTGAACTCTGTATTTCCATTTTCATCTTTTGTATTGCCTGTGAAATACCGAACCAACAACACCACTAGAACTAGGAAAGCAACAACCAAACCAACCTTGCCTATGGCTGAGGTTAGTTTGTTGAGCCGGGCTTGTAAAGGCGTTTGCTCGTTGGTGTCGCGGCTGATTGTGCTCATCATCTCACCCCATGTCATGCTCATGCCAACCGATGTGACAAGCATTCGGCCAAACCCATCAGCCACCTTAGTACCTGAAAACAAGAATGGATTTCTGTTAAGATTTACTTCTACGTACTCGCTTTCGCCTGTCATGCTCGATTCATCAACTTGTAGCGAGTGCCCATCTATGAAACAACCAAACCAACCTTGCCTATGGCTGAGGTTAGTTTGTTGAGCCGGGCTTGTAAAGGAGTTTGCTCGTTGGTGTCGCGGCTGATTGTGCTCATCATCTCACCCCATGTCGTGCTCATGCCAAGCGATGTGACAAGCATTCGGCCAAACCCATCAACCACCTTAGTACCCGAAAACAAGAATGGATTTCGGTTAAGATTTACTTCTACGTGCTCGCTTTCGCCTGTCATGCTCGATTCATCAACTTGTAGTGAGTAGCCATCTATGAATAGGCCGTCAGCTGGAACCTGATCTCCAATCTTTAAGCAAACAACATCTCCAACAACAATTTCAAAAATCGAAACTTGTTGCCGCCTTCCATTTCTCACAACATCAATCGGGATATTGTTGCTGACTTTAGATAATTTGAGAAATTGCCTACTCTGCTTGAAATTACTTCCTGCAGATGCTGAGACTGCTATGACAAGAAAGACAGCAAAAAATATGCTGCCTCCATCGTACCACCCTTCTTTCAGCCCATTTTCTTTGATGCCAAATCCAAGTGAAAGAGCTGCACATACTAAAAGGATTATAATAGTAGGATCTTTCAAAGCCTCCCACACGAAACGATAGAAACCTTTGGTGGGTGGCCTTTGATATGTGTTACTGCCAAAAGCTTTGTGTCTGCGCGAAATATCTTCTTCGTCATCTCCATTTATGCCATTCTTCAAATTGGTTTTGAGATCAGAAGCTAAACCTTGAACTCCACCATGTTTTTCAACAAGCTGGTTTAGATTTTTCTTTTTTACAAGTTGGGTGAGACTCGACTTATCAATATTTCTGAAACACGGGTGTGGTGGTTCGGGGACATCGATGACGACAACTGAGTTAGATGGAAGAAAAGGGGATACCTTTCTGTTGTTCTTCTTGGCTTCAAAGCAAGAGGTGAAGGCTCTGGAACAATAGATTGTAACAAACGCCATATGCCATCTCTGTTTGTTGGTTTCAGTAAGGCTAGTGTGTAGTTTGAGGACAGAGTCATACAAACTTGTTTCAAATATTGTAAGCATGCTTTAAAAAGCAAAAGCAAAAACAAAAACAAAAAAATGGAGATTTGTTTTGTTAATATAATATTGCCAATTGTATAGCTTTCTCTTTTCTCTTTTTGCTTTCGGTGGTAATGCCCATCATTTGGAATCCAATGTATATTGCTTCTCTCTATAAAGAGAGGTTAATTGTATAGCTTCACTTTATGCTTTTGGTGGTAGTGGGTTTTTTGGTATCCAACGCCCATATTTCTCTCTATAAAGAGAGACTTCATTCTCTTTGTAAATGATAACAAATATAGAAACATTTCAGAGTCTCTCTCTCACTCTATAACTTCTCTCACTCTCTCAAACTAATCTTTCATGGTATCAGAGCCCAGTATTACATTTCTGGTAATTTTCGATTTTGGTGTTTAGTCCCGTACACAGTGGCATACATCAAATTGCTCGGAATTTTCTCACGATTCCAACGGCACCTCAGAAAACCTAACACGCGCCCCCACGCGCCGCCCTTATCCTCTGCACGTCAACACTTGCGCCACCACTCTCACACGCGCCCACACGCGCCATCTGCTGTCACTCACTTCCGCCACGCGCCCACACGCGCCCACACATCCGCGGCTCCCATACGCCGCGCCTGCTACCGTACGCGTACCGTGCGCCACTCTGCTAGTGTGCACCCACGTGCGCCAAACCAGCTACCGTGCGCCGCGCCTGCGCCTGTCTGCTAACGTGCACCGTTGCCTTCCTGCTAACGTGCTCCTCCCTGCACTCTGCTAACGTGCGCCGCTGACATCATTGCTGACATCATCGCTGTCCAGCATACCTTTCCTTGCTATTTTCGACCTTCCGGACTCACTGGTACACTCTGTTTTACCTAATTTTGCTTCTACGGATCTATTTCTATTACTTTCACCCTACTCAACGAGTATTATGGATCGACATGATGCCTCCCATCCCATTTCCGTCATTTTAAATGGTTCAAACTATGTTCTGTGGGCCCAAGCTATGTCCTCTTTTCTCAAAGGCAAGAAGCTCTGGCGAATTGTCACCGGGGATGTGACTAAACCAGTCAAAGACAGTGCCACTACTGAAACTCCTGTTCATACTGCTACATATGAAGACCGACTTGAGGAATGGGACAGTAAGAATTACCAAATCATTACCTGGTTTCGTAATACCTCTGTTACCTCTATCAGTCTTCAATTTGGCCGGTTTCAGCTTGACTCTGTAACTACTCCTGCGAAAGACATCTGGGATTTTTTGAAAGAACGATACCAGACTACTGGTCTTGCCCATCAATATCAACTTCAGAACCAACTTCACCGCATGCGCCAAGAATCCACTCAGTCCATTAATGACTTCCTTTAGTTATAATTGAGCAACTGTCATGTTATATATCAACAAGAGTGGATATAATGTGGATTAAGACTGAATTTCCCTGGACAAACATTGACAAAGAATGGATTAAGATTCTCTTTCAGAATTGTCTAATAATTTTGTAAGACTATCTAGTTGATTTATGATTTTTTTTTTTTTAGACAGGGTAGTTGATTTATTATTTAAACAAAGGAATTGGATCCTCTCCGGTTTATAATTTAGACGAAAGGATATTGCTTGGGTCCGTTGAGTTCATCACATATTCTGTTCTAATGATTTGAATAGTTTATTTTGTTAAATTTTCGTGTATGTCATCAATGTAAAAAATTAGTTTGATCAGATATTAATACTCTATTCAATTTATTACGTTTGTTATCAAAGAAATAAATGATATATTTTTCAAAATGCACTCGTCATTTATTTTCTTGAAATTAAATGTAATAAATTTAATAAATTACAATCATCGATTCAATTTAAATATTTTGGTCTACGCTATAAATGAGGAACTCAACAAAGTCAGCTATTCAAATTACCAAAATAAAACCTATCATTTGGCCTATTTTGTCAAGTAGGTTAAAGTCACATTTTAAGCTTTTTAATCACATCATTCTCTATTTTTTTTACATATTTTCTATTAAAAAATTAAAAAAATTAACTATTAACTTTTAACAAGCTTTCCAAAATCTAAACAATACCCGCTAATTCAAATCATGAACAGAAAGAGTTCTATGTCCTTAAAAAAGTTTTAAATCATTATTGCATACAACACCCAATCTCAACCAATACTATTCGTAGCTCCCCGGTTGGCATGGGAAAGTCAATATCAAGATTTGGATAAAAAAAAAAGAAGGAGGTCAATATCGAGATTATTTTGACAATATAAATTATTTATATTATGAGATTTATTAAGTAAAATACTTATGATAAAAATTAAATTATTTAGGTATTCATAACCGCGTGCTTAATGCCTTAAAAATATAATTATTCATATTATGTTTACCTTTTTTTTTTTAATATGATAGTATTATATGGTTATAAATGTCCAATTAATTTTATTTTTTTCATGAATAATTTATTTGTTAAATCTTACCATATGAACGATTTGAATTATCAATATAGCGCCGGTATCGGCCCCTACAAGAGGCACAATCAGTGACGGAGTCAGAAAGTTATATTAGGGGGCATTTATTAATTACAATATAGAAAATTTTTACAAAAATATTTCACGTAAGTTTTTACAATTGATTTCGAGAAACATCAAAAAAATAATGTTATTTATAACTACTGTATCGTGGACAATACAACAAAAATATGGATATAAGTCTTAAAATAAATTATATAATGATAAATTATTTTTTTATACAAAATTTGATTAAAAATTCAATGTAATGGTAATATCACGTCATCATTAGTATGCGATATCACCAATTAATAATAAATAAACACATGGAGAGTGAACCTTACAAATCAAATGTAACTAACAATTCAATAAATTTCATATCTTTATGGTAAGATTACCATTAATAATAATGATATCACCATTACATTTAAAATTTTCATAGATAACATAGTTTATAATAGGCTCTTCATTTTCAATCAAAACAGCCATTATTATTTTTATAATTTTTAAAATGTTATTGACATTTCACTCTAATAATATTTTTGTAATTCTTTTTATTTAAAATATTTTATTTATATTTGAAAAAAAAAATTCCAAAACGTAGAGGGGGTACGTGACACCCCGGACCCTCTATGCCTCTGCCATTGAGTTCAAATATAAAGTTTAGATCCGTTTTTCAACGCAATTGATGGCATGATGGCAGGATAATAGTCCTGAATTGAGTTCAAATATGAAGTTTAGATCTGCCTTTCAACGCAATTGATGGCATGCCATCATAGTCCTGCATTGAGTTCAAATATGAAGTTTAGATCTGCCTTTCAACGCAATTGATGGCATGCCATCATAGTCCTGCATTGAGTTCAAATATGAAGTTTAGATCTGCCTTTCAACGCAATTGATGGCATGCCATCATAGTCCTGCATTGAGTTCAAATATGAAGTTTAAATCCGCCTTTCAAAGCAATTAATAGCATGATGGCAGGATAATAGTCGTTGGTTTTTTTCTATTGACATCATTGGGTTTTTTCTATTTCCCTCCAATATGAATAGTCAGTACACACTATCTCAACATGGCATGAGATAATAGGGCGTGTGTAGACATAATTTCTTATATCATATCTATATATATATATTCACAACCACCATCCCACAAGAACCACAACTCCAAGTAATTCATATGCATAACAATAATCACTTCATGTCTATGCCAATTTTGATCCTCTTTATTTCCTTGACCCTGTCATTCCTACCTTTATCATTTTCAACACCATACATACATAGCTTAAACAAAGGCTCATCCCTCTCCGTGGAGAAGCCAGACCAAGTTTTGATTTCACCAAAGGGGGTATTTTCAGCTGGATTTCACTCTGTCGGCGACAATGCTTACTGCTTTGCAATATGGTTCAGTGAACCATTGTATGATGGGAGTCACACCATAGTCTGGATGGCTAACCGAGACCAACCCATTAACGGAAGACTCTCAAAGCTCTGCCTCTTGCAAAATGGCAACCTCATCTTAACAGATGCCGGCCAACTCAACGTTTGGGCCACCGGCACTGAGTCAATCTCTTCAGCGCAATTGCTACTGAATGACACTGGTAACCTTGTTCTTCTTACTTTAGAAGGTTTGATTCTTTGGCAAAGTTTTGATTCACCAACCGATACCCTTCTTCCCAACCAACCACTCATTAAAAACAAAAAGCTTGTGTCATCTCGAAGCCAAACCAATTATTCTTCTGGTTTCTACAA